ATACAACTATAAATTTCTATTTTATTTCTTTTAATCAATTTCTATTTATTATCGACTATTTCTACTTTATTATCACAACTAAAATTAAAATGATCTTTACCTGCAAATATTACATCATGTGTAGCATTTTCACTTTCTCAGTATTATTAACATTCTCTATCTCAAGTTTGTTTTTATTTCTCAAAATCAGAAATCTATTATCCTTAAATATAACTATCATTCTGATGATCTGAAATGCATACAGCACTGATGGATTTACATTGCTATGATTGCCTGAATATGATAGCACAAAAACGCTCATGCACATGCTGTCTTTCAAATGAAAACTACTCTCTTCCTTTAAGGCAGCAATCAGTCAAAATAGAGGTTATCAAATATATATATATATATATATCAACCAATTATTGCAATGGTATCAATTTAGTAAACAAGGTATTTATTGCATTTCTTATCTAAAGTTAAAACTGTTTAAACTGGTATACAGCTTGTGTTTCAGAACTATACTAAGTAATGATTAATGCAGTTAAGAGATTACTTATGTATGTCACAGTATTAACAGGGAAAAATTAACATTCTTTATGCAATTTACATTTAAACACATGCAGAGACAGTTTTTTTTTTTTTTTTTTTTTTTTTTTAAGAACCAAAAAAAAATGAGCAATGCCCTCGCCAGGACTTGAGCCTGGACCTCTCGAATACGTGCCGAGTGTACTACTGTTGCAGCACGAAGGCATAAAGAAAGGAAAAAGAAAATCCCTTTTAAAGGCGAATGGAAATTACAGGATCCAGTCGCTAAATCCTGGTGGTGAAGAATCATGATCCACCTCCTTTTTTAGTTTGGGTGCAACTGTAGAGACATTAAAGTTATTTTGAAACAAGAAGATGGGGAAAATGTGCGATGCCCTTGCACATTGGTCTAGGGTCTTGGGACTTGAACCCTAGACCTCTCAAATACATGCCGAGTGTGCCAACTGTGACACCATGAAGGCATGCTGGGATGAGGAAGAAAATTTCTTATACACACATATTTATTGCAAAGTAGAGATAAATTGTAAAATGAGAATTATATATTTCAAATCTGAATTCTTGATGTCACTGCTAAATTTACAAATATATAAGCTGCAGAAACATATGACAGTAAAAGTTTTAATTGATCTGGATATCTGTATAAGTTCAAATATTTTTAATTGTCTCAGTTTGCACAGACATATAAAGTTGCACAACAATAGACAGATGAATATACAGGTACTGATAAATATATGCAAATTTTTATAAATACAGAATGATTTTAAGTACAGAATCTTGAATATATTGATTCAGCAACTTAATATACGTCTTACCACTTAATCCAAATATAAATTTTTAATGCCATGCACTTTCATTATTTTGAGATTCTGCCAAAAATAACACACACGGTTATTGATTTAAAAAAAAAAAAAGTCTTATGCCCAAAGGAGCATTTTTTTAATGTTTTCTGTGTTACCTTTACTTATTAAATATCATGTTCTTAGCACTTAAACCATAAAATTCAATTCAACAGCAATATCGCAAAATATTTAAAAGAGCATATCTACAGAATTTCCAATATACAGTCTCGTGTGCTGGAGATTTTTTTTTTTTTTCCCCCTTGTGCAGTTTTGCCATTGCTCGCTTTGAAATCATTGAGTTTGTAAATAAAAAATTCTTAAATGTTTGACAAAATCTGAAATAGATAATAAAATAAATTCCAAATTTGGGCTTTCATATGCCCATATTCGAATGCAGGACTAAATTACTCAAAATTTAATGTTTCTTGTTAAGGTTGTTTTTTCACAATGCGAGAAACATACATACATTCATGCAGATTCTTCATTATTTAATTTCTTTAAATATAATGCAGGACTCTAATATTTGGTGGCAACAATTTGAAAAATGGATCAACATTAATAGTGAATAAATGCAAAATGCTAAAATGAAATTAATAGCCCTTCTGGGCAAATTGACCCTTTGGGCTAAAAAATTAATACTCGTGCAGCATTGAATAAATAAATCATTAAATACAGCTTCATTTTCAAAATGTAAAAAAAAAAAAAAAGAAGTTTTAGTGTAAAAACCATATTTACCTTTTAAAAATTTTGCAATGCGTAATTTCTATAAAATTTTATAATTCATGAAGGTGGTTGTTGCAATATTAAAGAAAAAAATAAGTCTCAAGTAATATCGTTTCTTTTGAGCTAATTAAATGACCATAGTAAATTGCTGCTTACTAAAATATTTTTCCTAGGGAAGATAAATTTTGAAATAAATATTTTTTAATGTTACAATGTAATTTAATAATTTATTTTACCTCCCATAGCACAATTAATGAAGTTTGGATTACTATGTTCAATGGCTGAATCAATTATCCACAGATTCTGTGTAAACAATACAGTGTTAGTTGTACAAAATATTTTTGCACAGTTCAACTCGAAACTAAAACGAGCATTTCTTTCACCTCTTTTATATGCTCATTTTGTCACATGGTCTAACTTTTCTAGCTGACATATCACAAAATCTGTTTTTAACTTATATATATGAAAACAATTAATATTTGTAAAGTATCTGAGGATGATCCAGAAAGATCCAAGAGATTCAGTTATCAGTACAAGATCATTATTATATGAATGCATTTGAAGAGATGCAAATTTAGCTCTGGAATCTAATCGATACAAACATAGAGAAAAATATATACACTGACAACACCTTCAGATCTTAAATTTTACTTAACATAAAATTAGCAAATTTAATGTTAAGTAAATTCAATGGAAATATAGAAGATACAATACACAGAAAAATACACACACTGATATCAAACACCTTCAAATCTTACATTAATATTATTGAATTAATTAATAAAATTAGTAATTTTAATTCAATTAATTTCAATGAAAATTATTTTTATATTTAAAATTGTATTCAGATATGCTACAGTACAAAGTCCGTAATCCAGACGTCCATTATACGGAATGATCTATAATCCAGACCTCAAAGCCACAAACTTTTTTTTTTTTTTGTATGCTTTATGCATGCGTGTTTAATGTATAACAGACGTTATAAGCTAGGCTAAAATTATCTTTACTGATTCTAAGGCATTTCAGTTAATGTTGCAGATTGCACTGTTCCTTAATCTTCTAATTGGATCCGGCTTATTTTTTGCAGGCTGTTACAGCAATTTTATAAAAATTAAGCTTGAACTTTCGATTATGTCAAAAAGAGTTTCCAATTATGGAGCTGCCAAAGGATCTACAAAGCGAAAGCATGTTTCAATGTCCATCAAACAAAAAGTGGAATTGCTGCAAAAAATGGATAAAGGCACATCCGACTCAAAATTATGCGAGGAGTATGATACTGGAAAGTCAACTGCATATGACATAAGCAAAAAGAAAAAGGAACTTTATAAATATTTTGTGAATTCCAACACCCCACTTGCAATGAATAACAGAAAAAGGGTTCGTTATGCTAAAAGTGACGATCATGACAAAGTGATGATTGAATGGGTCAGACAGCGTCGCAGCAAGGGCGTGCCATTGACTGGTCCAGTGCTAATGGCTCAAGCCAAAATATTTCATGAAGAAATGAACTTAAACACTGAGTGCACATATTCAACAGGTTGGTTAACCAAATTAAAAAATCACCATGGTATAGGACAATTAAAAATTTCAGGTGTAAAAGCTTCAGCTGGTATTGAAAGCTGCTGAACAATTTGTAGATGAATTCATTGAACTTATTACTAGTGAACAATTATCTCCAAAACAAATTTACAATGTTGATGAAACTGGTCTTTTCTGGCAATATGTACTGCGAAATATCTCGGCAACCTCTACAAAAAAAGGCTCCAACTGGTGTCAAAGATTCTAAAGCGAGACTAATAATTTTAGCAAACGCACAAGTGCAAACTTTTCGTAATTGGAAAACATGCACGACCTCGAGCATTTAAAGGAGTAATCAATTTCCCCGTTATATATCATGCAAATAAAAGAGCATGGATGACACAAGCGTGGATGAATGATTGGTTTGAAAATCATTTTATACCCGAGGCTCAGCAACATTTGAATTCGATTGGTTTACCCAATGACTCAAAAATAGTCTTGATTGTTGACAACCATTAGGCACATACTTCACTTAAAGTTTTAGTGAAAGATAATGTATTTGTATTATTCTTTGCTCCAAATTGTACGTCTATCATTCAGCCTATAGATATGGGAATAGTGCACATGCTGAAATGCAAATATAAAGTAGCATTTTTAAAATCTATGTTAAATTTCTTGAATAGTGGCAAGCCTATTCAGGACTTTTTGAAATTTTTTAGCATAAAATCTGCTGTGTGGAGCATCGCAAGATCATGGGAGGATGTGTCTTCAGATACGTTAAAAAAGGCTTGGCATAATTTATGGCCAGCTACCATATTTCATGGTGAGGACGATGAAGATGATAGCCGTGAATCTGAAGGTTTTCAGACATCGCAAACTAAAGGTGAAATTTTCCAGTTAATGGATTTTGTAAAGAAATGTGGAGAAGCGGTAATAAATGAAGATGATATAACAGAAAATTTTTCATTGTGACGACTATGTCCCAATCATCAATCAATTAACGGATGGCGAAATCTGTAGTATAGTTCTAGATCCAGAAAATAATGCTTCCGATAGTGAAGAAAGTGACAGAGAGGTTATTGAAAAAGAAAAAATTTTGATTGACAAGTTAGTCGGTATTCTCAACACAGCAATTACAGGACTTGAAATAGTGGAACTTTGTAACTGAAGAAGAAATTATGTCTGTTTATAGAATTAAAGAGAAAGTATTAACACAAAAAACGAAGCAACTTAAACAACTTACATTGAAAGAAATGTTTAATAAAGTAAACAAATAAATATTAAGCTCTTTTTTTTTTTTTTTTTTTTTTTTTTTTTTTTTTTTTTTGTAAATTTTGATACACTTTAGATCATAATTGCTCTTTATTTGATAAATTACGGTTTCATATTTTTAACAGTATAATTTCTGCATGCCATCTTACCAGATTTAAATTGATGATCTATAATCTGGAAAAGCCCCTAATCCGGAATCGCCGAAGTCCCGATGAGTCCGGATTACAGACTTTGTACTGTATTATAAAGCAATTATATGTAGTTCTTAACTAATGGATTTTTGTCACTATAGTTCATAAATAATTCACATCATAAGTACAACATTCCAAATTTCGAAAATAAACACTAAAATTTGCTGAAGTAAATAGTAAATAACCATCTAATGGTTACAATGTATTTGTAGTAAGGCTAAAAAATTTAACAGATACGATGTAAAATACAAAATCCTTTCCAACACATTTTATCTGATCATATATCTCAAAGATTCACATTTATTTCAAACGTGAAGACTTTTCCCACCCTATCAAAATGCTCAAACAAATAATATTGATTATTAAATGGCTTTGAATACTAATACTGGTTTATGGTTTTATAAAAAATTTATTAGAATAAGAATAAAATTTCTTTAATTTATTTAGAATCAACTTAAAATTCTTTAAAAAATGTTAAAAAATACATTGACCTATACATTTATTACATAACAAGTGAATAAATAAATGTGTATAAATTCCAAAGATTTCCTTTATATTCAAATCTTGATATAGCTTAAACGTTTTTAAATGTTTGACCAAAACCTTTTCTCTCTACAATATACAAGCAAATCTTTGTTTTATAATATAGATGCTATTTCCAAAAAAGTAGAGTAATTTTTCCACTTACTAGCACAAATTTCTAAAATTAAATTCATTGTAGAAATATATATATGTAAATGTTTCACATTTGAAAAGATAAAACTTTTGTAACAAAAAAATATATTTCAATACTATCCAAAGAAAGAGAATTATAGACACTATCAAAAACATAGCCAACAATAAAATACAGTCAAACCTCATTATAAGGTCACATTCAGGGATTTGGCAAAAAAGATCCTTTAGATAAGGCAACTCAGTACATAAGGAAGGCCATCAAAAATAAAATTATGTAATAATATACAGAAGACAAACAGGTATTTTTAAATAAATACTAATATTCTCTTAATTTTAGGTATTCAGTAATTATAATTAATGTAATTAAAGTTAGAATAACAGAGATGTTCTGTTTAAAAATAATTTATATAATTTTATTTATATACAACACTATACAGGGAATTCAGTTAAATGAAACACTATTAGAGGAAATCATAACATTGGAAGGTTTTCTTTCAGTTTTAAAAATGAAACAGCTCTAAATTTCTAACAGTTCTCAAATGTTTTCAGTAATATTAGATATCATAATTAAAAATCTTGTTATAGTAATTTAAATATATAAAGTATCATCTTAAGATCCTGTATCATTTCCAATGAAAATATCCTCATGCTAGGCATTAAAAGTCTCACCAGTACTCCTTTCCTACCAATATATCTATGAAAGACAGCCCACAGAATTATGTGACTGTCAGATTAAAACATTGTCACCTACATCAACATATTTTAATTCACCCAAAATATTGCAGCTTTGCTAATATAAAGATGTCGAAGAAAGTTAAAAAGAAGAATAGTGTCATATTTTTGCTCTGAGGAATTCCTAAATGAAAACTGGAGCTATGGTCACATGATCATTTCAAGCTAATTTTCATGTTCAGATCCTTAGCCTGCTTTTTAAAACCATACTTTGTTACTTTGGCACTCCTTTCATATGAGAAAGAAACCAGGTGAGTAGTACAAGTAAGCTTAAAAATCATAACAATTAACAACATAAAAGTTTAAATAGATAAAAGGAAGATTTTCTGGAAAATACTGAAATTTTTAAAATAGATTACCTTGTAAATTTGAATGGCACATAAAGTAATACTAATATTTCAGATTTGACACAATATGCAATTAACATTGAAGCAATTACATTTGGCTTGACAGAAATATGTCACTATAAGATAAATGACCATAAAATGAGGTTTGATTGATCTTTTTACTTCAAAATCTCTAATCTTTTATTTTATTATCTTTTTACTATCCTTTTTATCTTAATTTTTCACCAAAATATCATAACAAGCAAAATACATTTAAATTAAAACTTTGTATAAAAATATTAAAAATATTGGCACATGAAAGAATTGGCACACAAGTTATTGTTAACGAAAAATACAGCATAAAATAATACATATATACACATATTTACTTATTTTTACACTAATTTGGCTTGATGCATAACTTGATTAGTTTGGGGAATTATGTACAATATTCCATATTCTTCAAGGATGAAAAGTCTTGAATTTATCATCTGCATAAATTAAAAACGTTGCATTTGAAGCAGGTTTTTCAACTGTGATCATTTTTGTGATGATTTAATGTTGAATCCTTGCCAGATAATCCAAGCTGAAACAAAGGAATAAATCAAATAGTTATAGTTCTTTCATTTAATATGTATAATAATAAGTCCATATTCATTCAATATATATAGTAGTAAGTTTATTAGAATAAAAATAGCAATTTATATAAAAATAATTCAATGTATATAAAAACAAGTAAACAGCAAATATGTTCACGAAATATAAAACTTTCAAACAATAATATAACTCGAAATTATTTACATGCAGTTTTACTACAGTTTATGAAACACATTTTAAATTTATTACCCAGGTAATAAAATTAATAATTTTTGTACTTGTTTCTGTAATAATAAAAAAAGTTTTATTACAAATATGAACTATTAAAAATAACTTAAAAACTCCATGACTGGTATCTTTCTTACAAACAATCTGAAAATGTAGCTTCAATATCAACTAGAGTAGATTATCATTAATTTAACTCATAAAGACTAGCAGAACAGTCCAAAATATCAAAAGTAATTAGGAAAATAAACTTAAAAGGGGATTTACTTAAAAAACATAGACAAGTTCACTTTCATCATATCTATATACATATTTATATATACAGATAATATGTGCATTGCTATGAAAAGAAATTATCTTAGCTGATTGTTAAGCCCAGTTATTTTTTGACATTTTAATCAATTTTTTGCTGTAGAACAGATATTGCAGTTTATTGTCAAGGATGAAATATGGATTATCAGCTAAGTTTCTGGAATCTGTTACTATTTGTGAATTATAATGAGCACACTTTTAAAAAACTTCATTTTTATCAAGGCTTGAAGTTTTGTTTTTCATGTGGAGTCACATTTTATACATGAATTCCAGAAGTAAACGCATATAACAATTTTCTCTGAATAAAGATTCATAACTTGAATTAGTAAGATTTACTAATATTTCTTCATAAGTGAGAATTTCAGAAGCTTTTCTTCAAATTGCCAAAGTTTCAAATAAATAAATTTATTCTGTAAGAAAAATCCAAAGCTTTATATGTAATTTTATTCATGTTATGAAATACTGAAATAATTTCATGCACCAGAATTTCCAAATCAATTTAAAACAAGGATGTTTCAGCAAGTTTAATGCGGCATATTAACACAATACGTTGTGAAACTGAACTCATTCATTATTATCTGCATTTTCTTCTTTTTACGCTCTTGTAACCTTTTCTTTTTTTTTTTTTTTTTTAAACTGAACACAACATATACGTTTCATTCAATTTAATGTGCCTAAATTTTTATAAATGGAACTTATTATCTAATTACATATATATTAAATACAGTGAGCTAAAATTACAGTTTTTTTTTCCCCCAATACGTTCTATTATCTTTTTGAAATCTGTTTTGGATGTCTAATTTTATATGAGTAAGAAATTCATTAAATATTACATCAATTCTTGTTTGAAATGGAAAAGAAAATAATATACAACAGTTTGATGAGCACATAAATATAATTATTTAATTATTTTTTCATTTATGCGAGTTTAATTATTTAAAAAAATAAAAATATATGCATTAAAATTAACAGTATTTAATTTCAAGGGACTACAAATTTTACTTGCAAATTAGTCAAATCATAATTTCAATAAAAAGAGTTTTATTAAAAAAAATGTAATATTACATGACTGTTCCAGCTGCCTTTCTTGTTCCAGTCTGTATCAGAATCATCTTCAGATAATTCAGAATACTCGTCTTCATGTAATAGTAAATTGTCCCGTGAGGGATTGATGCCTTCACCTAAACTATATAATGTTAAGGATGATAGTTAAAGTATTGTTCATGAATATTTTAAATAGACAATAAGTCCATTTAAATAAATGAAGTATTTTTTTTTTCCTTAAAAAAAAAACTTTTCTATATATAGTGGAATTTTGATGATCTGCATATTTTGGGACTGAGTTGTGTGGATTATCAGTCAAGTTGCCATGAATTTTCTGCATTTTCCTTAATTATTTACATGCACTTTTTTAATAATCCCACTCAAAAAACATAGTAGGATAAATAATAAGGAGGATTATTATTTATCCCCAAAAAGGGATAAATAATAAGGAATTATTCTCTGGAAACAAATAACTCTTTTGTTAAAATGCATGCAAGTATTTTATGGGGGGGGTAAATAATTATCCCTCATAAATATTATTAATCACTATAACTCAATATGATATTATTAATCATTATCTAAATCACTTTTTCAAATTAATTTTTATGCTCTTAAAAAGGGGTTAGGTTAGGTTATTTAATTACGGCAAAGCCTTGAGGGCTATCTGCCTAAGGGGAGGAATGCCTTTGTGGAGGACTTTCTAAAGGAAACTGGCTTGTATACACGTTACACATGAGGAAAACTATGAAAACACCCATGCAGCCAGCCTGTTCGTGGGATTCGAACCTCGGACCGAACTACCAGTGTTCAGGGACTTTACCACTCGGATGCTGATGGGCCAAAAACATCTTTTAAAATTGCCTGAAAAATTAATTACCAGCTGTGGTTTCTTTTGTCCTTAAATCCCTTTTTGTTAGTATTCCAATTAGAAAGAACTCCATGTAAGTCTTAATTTGTCCTTATTGAGACTAAGGAGTTAATATTCTTCACTAACAATTTAACCGCTCGGCCGCTGATGGGCCCTTAAAAAGGGGAAAATAGATAAATAAACAATATGTTTATTAACATAGTGTTTACAAAAGACCAGCAATGTGGTTTTCACTAAATTGAATCTCTCTGCTAATTATAGCATTATGTTCCATGCAGATGCAACTGGATTACCAATATTACTAGAGCTTATGCAAAGTATTCTATTTCAAAAATCCTGAAAATGACCATGGAGTAAGAATTCAAAAGTTTCAAGTAATTCACGATAACGTGAAACACATATATACACACATATTTTCAAACATTTTCATACGAAAAAAAAACACTGTAATTTTTCAAAACATATTAGAAGGTTAATTTAACTTTAACAACATCAGATTTAAATTTTGAAAGCTGCTGTGTAATATTTTTCTCTGCTAACAAATGAAATACAGTTAGATCAGCAAAACATTCTGGCTTTTCACATAAGATAAGAACTTGAAACATTAACACATATTAACAGATGTTAGAGATGAGGAACTGCAAGAAAGAAGAGAATGATTAAATGAATAAAAAAAATCTGATAAGCTGTCCTTTCACTAAATTATTCCTAAAATCTTTACCAACAGGGTTCAAAAGGATTTTCTGACCCCAAATCTTCACTTGCATTCTTGTGTAACGAAAATAAAAAAAGCTGCATTCTGCACGACATCCAGGCTACTAATGTCCAAGGATACTCTATATTCTGTCTTAATGTTAACCATATAACACAATGAACTTTTAAAAAAAGGTACATGGAAGCTAACTAAACAGATTTAATCAGTTTTGTCAATACTGAATATTTCTGCTTACTGTCTTTTTTTAGACAGAAAACTCTGTCTTCTCTCAATAGTTAATTTTTATGTTATCTATGAATGATGTATTTTTTCTAAAAGAAAGGTAATGAGTCTTATTTATATAAATCCAAAATTTTTTGATTTAACAAGGTTAAAAATCTGAAATTCTGGCTATATCTTGACCACAGTCACCCCTGGTACTAGAAATGAAATTTTTAATTTATTTGAAGAATGTGTCTTTTTTTACCAATTTTTAACACAAGGAAAGTCTTTACAAGTGGCAATTTTAAATGCTTGTCCGAATCTGCAAAGATAACAATCTTGCTTTTGCCTACATGCTATGCAGAAAGTAAATAAACCAGCAAAGAAATACAATTAATTAGAATTCAGCAACTGATATGTTGCAAATAAACATATTTTTACATTATTAATCACATAAATGAAAAATTAATTTTAAAAGACAACAGAATATACACCCAAAATAATTACTTATTTAAAAAAAGAATTTTCAGATTCAGTAACTGTGTTTACTATATGATGCAGAGACATGTGCACAGAAAATGTTAAATAACTATAATATTCATTTGCTTCTTCTATCAATATATGCTATAAGCTTAAGCTATAACATATAAGCATATTTTTTAATGTTTACCTACATATCTATGGACAAAAAAGTCATTATTAAATTTAATGCTAAATTTTCTAAAAACTGAAACTTCATTTGTTTACATCCAAATGTGAGTACAGATTGTAGCCACCAACATGTTAAATGGTTACAGATTATCTGAATTTCACTATAACAGTACATATAATTTATTTTATACTATAACCATAATTAGTTAGGAAAATTTACTATTACAATAGAACAGCTCCTCTCACAGCATTATCATAAAAGTTGTAAATGATAGCATTATTATGAAAGTACCCCTCACAGCATTACCACAAAAGTTGTAAATGAATGCCACAAAATTTAAGAAACAAAAGTGTTTTATATAAAAGTACCTTAATGTATCTTTTTATTTTTAATACAGGGTTATAAAACGGTAGGGGAAAATTACAAAATGAGGACAGAGATCCTATACATAAAAGTAAGTAAACATAAAATTTATTTTTTAGATACTGTTTCAACAAGCATGAGTCTATAAAATATACAAAGTCCATGTTCTAAAATTAACGAGACTTTGGGAATTGTGGATTACAGATCATCACTTTAAACATAGTAAGATGACATACAGCCGTGGCAACAATGGAGCTTCGTTTATTATTTAGGTCAGACAGAAAAATGTTAACCCCATCACAACCACTCGAGGGCCGACCGTGTGATCCTGAATAGAAATAATACGTCAAACAATTCATTGCCATTGGTCCCGGTACAACTCCTTAGCCAGCAGGTGTTTGAAAATGACATGCCGGGAACCTCAATTTGGAGGAAAATCACATTTCAATCCTAGACTTTATGAACAGGGAAGGAAAATGTTATTTTTGTTATTTTTATTGTATGCATATATTTACTTGCTAACTGGACTGGTGGTCCGAATATTAAATCATTCCAGATTTTGGCCTTCATACTGCACTTCAAAAATCTTTGATCCTCATACTTAAAAAAAATAGGTTATTCCATCAGATAAATCTCACAAAGCAGCACTGGTACGTTTACAGTTAAAACCAGTTGCACATATAATTTGTTGGAGTAATTTTAAAAATAAATATAATGCTGATGAGATTGTCAATTCATGTGCAAGGCAAGGCATATTTTTTTTAATTTAAAGAAGACATTTAGAAGAGATAACAATATAACTGATTTATGATAGTGTAGAAGCCAAAAACATTTATGAAAGAAGTATTTAAGAAGATAAAATCGGTCAAAGAAAATTTCAGAAATCTGACAGCAGGATAAACCACGTACTGCATTAGAATTTGATGAAGAATTGGTCAAAGCCAAAACTACCCAAAGCCAAAGAATTGCTGAGAAAATTAGTCTGGATACATATGGCCAAAGTAAATAATAATAATAATTAGTTGAGAAACTTGGGAAACTACCCATCTGACATTTGAGAATGAAATAACGGTGCAAAAAGAAGGAAAAAGAGAAGATTTTAAACTTTGAAAAATGATTACCATATGTATTCCCTCTAGAATACGTTATAAAAAATGGAATTATTTTTTTAAGTCATAAACAAAAAATGTTTTAGTCTTAAAAGATGAAAATGAGTTTTTAGAGTAATGTGAAGCAGTCAGATTTTTAACACCTGAAGCATATCTCAAAAGTGCATCCCTTAAATCCATTTCATCATTTTCACATTAGCATTTAATTAATTATATTTTAATTTTGCCCCCATTCTTTTTCAAGCTGAAGCAAATACTTTACTTACTGCACCCGTTGTACAATTCTGATGAAATGCAAAATAGCTAAAACTTTGAATGGCACTAAAATGACATTTTAGAGAAAAATCTTTAAAACTGTATATGACTGAATATTGCAATTGAAAATAGAATAATTACACAAGAAATGAAAAAAATACAGCAGTCTTAATATACAATAGCATGTATTTCTGAACAGAAGCTGATTCGTGTATAAGCCAAGAGTGTGTTTAATCTTCAAATATTTACCCAAAATTCAAAACCAGACAAAATGAAAAATAATAATCATAATAATTCCTATAATGTCGCCATGATGGTGAAAATTTTGCAAAGCAGGTAAAATGGGTAGCATATTTTCCAATCAAATTGCTGTAAAATAAAATGCCAGATGCCAACAATGATAGTTTTAACTCCAATAACTATTATCTGAAGCTAGCACATTTTTAAATTCATTTCTATCCATGACCTTTTTTTTTTTTTTTCTTTTGCATTCTAAACACCCAAAAAGCAAGACTGAAGTAAACTCGTTTCGTGTTATTTGCGTTTCGTGTTTGGCGAATTTTTATCATTTAGTGCTTAACTTTTTAATGTACTATACTATTCATTTGATAACTTTATTGATGTATAAGTAGCTAAAATTGTTTTTTACATAAAATAATGGCCGATTCTGAATGTACACAGCTAATGAGTGCAGGAATAAATGACACAAATTTACAGTTTTGATTGGATATTATCGTTTGATCGACTGAAAGATAATGTTTCATTGCAAATAAAATAATAATACTTTATCGGCAATAAAAAGTTCTAAATGCTTAAAAAGATTGCAAATGTTATAATAACATTTCCCTACTTATAAATGTAAAATATGACTTTTTTATCAAACTCGGCAATAAAATGAAAAAGTTAAGTGGTTAAAACTTAGGGACTTCTGGAAATATCACGTTGCTGAATTTTCATTAACAAAGCCTGGCAGCAAGTAACATACAGGACCATGACTTCGGCCTTGAGGAAATTATGGCCATATTGGGTTGCAGACAGTTACTTTGACACTTAGGTCTTTTTTGTTATGATAGTGTTTCTTGACGCAAAAGTATAGGCCATGAAATTAACAATGAAGACCTGGACAAGTTATTAGATGACCACAACAATGACCTTAGCAAGAAATAACTACAACAGCTTCAGAAGCAGCAACTCTGTAAGAAATGTCTTCAAAAGTGGAAGATGAAAAAAAATAACCCGTTCTCTGATCGATAAAATAAAGTTAGATTCAAAGTTTTCATGTATCGATATCATCCTGATAAAGCATTAGCAAGCTACAGCAGAAGCATTTTTCAGTGACAATGCCATGTCTCAAATTGACTCACTGAGTCAAAATCACAGTTGAGTGGTATTTAAATACAGGAAAAAGGTAAAAGAAGGTGCCCCCTAAAGACCTGATGTTTTTATAAATGAATTTCATATGCAAATAACATCTTCATCATTTTTCACTTACACTGTCTACTTGCCTTCATAAGGGTACAGTGAAATTTGAGTAAAATATGATGCAAAATTTAAATGAGCAATCATATGTGGCCCAGGAACAAATTAATTTATTTTACATTAACTCCCGTGAGGAAAAGTGTTTCGGTTTAAGGACATTTGGTTCATGAAACACCTTTAGAAACAAATTAAATTCATGAATCAAGGTCTCACCATATAAAGCACCATATAACCATATAAAGCACAAAAGCATGTCAAATACAGAATATCACTTCAACAGACTTAAAACTGAATATCAAAGCAGGAAGTATAGGCAAATACATACATCATCAACACATGTTGCTCTTAGACTGGAAAGCCAATTGTACAAAATCACATCAAATTGTCAGCTATGTGCTGTCGTTCAATTCACGGAATAGTAAATTGGTTGTATTATGAGCACGGGGGATTTTCCCATGTGTTATTAAAAATGAGTTGGTTTCTCTTAGAAAGACTTTCAAAGAAAGAATATTAATGAAGCAGATATCCTTTAGATATTTTCTAAGTAGCTCCTTACGATATTTATCTTCTATAATGTAATAAACATCCAACAACACAATACATATCAGCTTGGACTTAACAACTCTAAGCTATTTCAGTTTCACACAGTAAAAGGAAAAGAATGGCCTTGAATACTGTCATATATACAAAACCTTCATTTTAAAAAAGGATACATAGGCTTGAATGCACGTTTTCGTCTTGAAAAAATACTTGCCAGTTGAGCAAACTTTTTCCTTGACACTGAAGTAGTAAGAAAAAGAATTATGAGTTTACATGCAAATAATATCATTGCATATAACTTTTCATATAATATAAATCTTTAACTATGATCACAATTGTCAATAAGTAATTCTTCACCTAAATAAATTATATTACTAAACAATTAATTAAATAAAATTTGAATTAAACTCTTTCATACATAAATTATTCATTTAGAAAGGTTTCTTTTAATTGATAGTTCAAGGGAGACCCTTCATGCTCATATGAAATATAAAATACTCTACCAAAAAAAAAAAAAAAAAAAATGCAACTAATGAAAAAAAATGCATTGAAACCAGCATCCTATATATGAGATACTATTATTTTCTAATAAATGGGCATGAGATAATTATTTCAGCAGTTTTTTTCAACTACTGTCATTATCAATTAATGCTAGATTAATGACTTAAATTCAAGTATTTTATGCAATTAATCTATTAACAGTCAGTGTCACATTTATTAAATGACAATGTGAAAATAATTAAAATAAATGATGCATGTAAAAATATCATACCTAAGAAAATGACTAGAAAGCTGAAGATAAAATATTCAAATGTAATTTGGGAAAGAATAATGCTAAATAAAAAAAGTGCCAAAAAATAACTAAAGCCTGCTTTGGAGAACTAATAAATTAATTTAAAAAGTCAATACATGTACTAAAACAAAATTAAGATGAGTCACTTGATATGATAGAAAAGACTATTTGAAAAAATAACAAAAAACACTGCTAATAACAAAGGTGCTGCTAAATTTGCAAAATGTAAATATTTTGTATGAAGTGCAACATTACTCTTTCTCTGAAGTTTCAAATTAATTTGAAAATATTTCTATTATAATACTTACCTGTATTACATTTTGAAATTCATTACTGATTGTACAAATGCATGCTTATTAATTTCATAAGTTTTACTAATGCACTTTTATTTCCTAGAAATTTATTTCTTTTTTGTACCATTACTGCATCTTGAAATTAATTATTAACTGCACATAGTCTGCTAATTAATTTTTATAACATAAGTTTTATTAACATACTTTATTTCTTATTACCTTTTTCCCCACAGTTCTCTGAAATATTACTGCAACATCTACCTCATAAATCATGTATTAAATCATCTTACTTATAACACTATTTTTCTAATTATTCATAGCTTTGATCAAAATTAAATATATATTATTATTAATGTGGAAATTTTGTTATTGTTAAGGACAACAGAAATCAAACTTTTCAGCAAACAAAAGAATAAAGCAATTTAATTGTTACTAGACTAAAATTTGAAACTCTATGACAAATTTCAGAAAAGACTAAGTTACTTCAATATATCATCAAATATTACGTGCAGTTTAATATAGATATTTTATGCTTTACTTTAACCCACTTTTCAAGTCTTAGAAATAATCACCTCAATATAAAACCGAAAAGCACAGTTAGTACACACTTAATAATGCAGAACTTGTGTCTCTTTCTTTAGCCCAAAGGGCATTAGCACAGAAGAGCTATTAATTTCGTTTTAGCATTTTGCATTGGTTGACTATAAATGTCGGTTCACTTTTCCAATTGTTGCCACCAAATATTAGAGATCTGTGTTATATTTAAAGAAATTGAATAATGAAAAATTTGCATAAATGTTGTATGTATAATGAAGAATTTGCATAAATGTTGTATTAAATAAATTAAATAATGAAGAATTTGCAAGTTTCTTGCAATGTGATAAAACAATGGTACCATCAAATTTTGAATAATGTAATCTTCCACTGAATATGGGCATCTGGAAGCTAAATTTGAAATTTGAAATTTGTTTTATTATCGATTTCATATTTTGTAACACTTTAACAAATTTTTTATTAACAGACTCAACAATTTCGAGTCTGTTAATAAAAAATTTCGAGTCTGTAAATAAAAGCGAGCAATGGTAATACTCTTCAGAAAAAAAAAAAATTTTATCTCCAGCGTGAGAGACAGTGTAATGGAAATTCTAAAGATAGGCTCATTTAAAATTACTTTGCGATACTGCCATTGAACTGAATTTTATCGTTTAAGTGCAAAAAGAATATGATATTTAATAAATAAAGGCAACACACAAAATGTTAAAAAACTGCCCCTTTGGACGTAATGTAAAATCTGAAAGCATTCAGATTTTATTATTATTATTATTATTTTTAAGTTTCCATATTAGAATCAACAAAACATGCTTCTGATTATTAGAATAGATTTTACTTCTTAAAACTTGACGAAAGAACATTACTTTTCCCCATGTTTTTCAGTCTTTCTCGAAATGCAGCATCAGTATCTTCAGCAGATAAAGAACGTGGAAATAATGACTGATCGCCAGATTTAGCACCATCCAAATCTCCAGAAAGCTTTTCAACATTTTTCAGAGCTAAGAAGAAAAAAACGATTTTATTAAAAATTCAGAAATCCAAAATAACACATTTAATGATATTGCAATATATATATAATCAAGACATACTAATTAAATTAAAGATGGTGGCAAAGCAGCTAACAGAAAGAATAAAAATCACAACTGAAGATATAAGAAATTAAGAAGCTATGTGTTGAACTCGGCATGCTTGTGTACGAGCTACATCTCTCTACAACATTTTGGGCATGACTAAAAAGTGAACTGGTTTCATCTTCTGCAAAAACTACAACATCACAGAGTTATAATCCTGTCCTGAACTCAACTGGATTTCAATAAAGTATCGATGAAACTCAAATGCACGTGCCTGTTTATCTGCAAGTAAAATAGTTCTAACTTCCAGTGAAATGCAATGTGGAATTACTACTGCAGTTCACAGCTAAATCAGTTTCAAAGTTATTTCGCCACTTCTTCAATATTTAGAAATAAAAAAAAAAACTTTCATTGTTCTGCTGTGGTGTTTTATCAGTGCTTAAAAAATTAATCATGCATAGCATTTATAAAATGAAAGTAAACTCCCTAGATATTCAAAAGTGCTTTGAAGGTCATCAAACTATGTATTTACATTGCTTCCTCGGTCTCTTATGCGAATAAATTAGTCAGGTTATTTTTCACCAGTACAGGACTGAAAATTATGCTTGAAGTGTGTGTTAGAAAATTATTTTTCCTTCTGCTTCCCCCAATTGCAATTATAATACAAATAATTTATTTATCAGTTGGTTATATTGTAAAATTTTAACATGTAAATTGTTTTGTGACAATTATTGTTTTTTTTAAATGTAGCACTATTTGATGAAAATATAAAATTAAAATTTTATGGCATTAAAAGATCATTATACATATTTGATAACATTAAGTAATGAATTTTAAGATATTTATATAATTTTCAGGTTAAGATAAATACAATAACTACCACTTATTATAACCACTTCCCTTACAAATTTTTTTGAAAAAAATTGCAAAAAATCATCACATTTTTTTTATTTTATTATTAAATACAACAAAACGAAACAAATCAAAATATGTAGGTTTTAAGTTGACTTTTTAATTTTTGAAGGTGTAAAAGCATTTATTTTTAATAATAGTTTCTATCACGAATTATCTCGGGCAAACGGAAAAAGTTAAAGTATCTTTATATGATAGTTTTTGAAACAAGGGACACACAGTGATGCCCGACATTCTAAACACGTATCTGGTCTCTTTTCTTACTGGCTTACCGCTGGAATCGCTTTCACGGGAGCACGAGTACATGTCTCATGGATTTGATTTTTTTCCCCACCTCTTCATAATTATTATCTGAAAATCATCGCTTCGCAATCTTGCATCATCGCCATCATTTATTTTTTTCAACGCATGAATCCTTCTTTATACATTACTAACCACAACCACGTATACAATACAATAGGGAAACACGTGACCAGTCCCCCAAAAGAATCATGCAACAACAAATTTGGCAAATTGCCATCAAGCTGAAATTTCCTTTCATTCTTGCCAGACGATAAAACTGTGATAAAGAATAGTACTCCAAATTCTGCTCGCCCAAGTTTTCTCAGGATAATAATTAACTGCAATATATACGAACCCGAGATAACTCGGGATAACCAGGCAAGCGGTTAAACACACCGGCTAATAACCTCAGCCACTTATTGCCTTCAAATTTTCAAGAACCAAACCAAGTACATACTAATCAATGTAACAACTGTTGTTTATTAAACTCAGTAAAAGACATATTCTTCAGTGCCAGAATAACCTATTTGTAACTATCAAAGCTTTTTGTAGGTCATCCATTTAATGTATCATGGATCTTCGCTCTTCAGGTATGTAGAGCTCCATTAAAATCTGTTTGACTGAAATTTTCCAATTCCCTAACTCCTGTACCTCTGAAACACTATTTTCAGAGTTTTTTTTGTCTACACAGGACATCAGAAGAGGAATTAAGTAAGGGTTCCTTTTTGAATACCAACAATAAGATATAGAAGTGCAACTTCAGTATCTCAGCTTTTAAGGTTTCCACATTCAAAAGCTTCCCTGTGGAACACGCAGTATGTTCACCGAGAATTTTAAAAAATTGTATGAAATGCTTCTTAGCATTACTGTACATTAATAATTTTTGAATGGAGAGAAGGTGATAACTGTAAACTGAAGAAAATGCAAAGAAATCACTGGTCATGTTTGTAATCATGAAGTGGGAGATTAACTAAACAAACATTATTATTATTTTTTTTTTTTTTTGCTAGAAATGCAAGTTTTCAAATCTTAATAAATCGTGAGAAGAAGCATTTTTAAAATTTGTTGTGCTTGTAATTTATCGAAAATGCCAAATTAAAAGATTTGGAAAAGAAGAAAAACGTTGCAAGATTTTATGCCTTCATAACTGCAGCCAGAGCAAAAACTACATTTAAACTGGGAATTTCCATTTAAACTGTGTAGACAAAAAAACACTGTGCAATTTATTTAAACAAGAAATTATAATCAATAAAGAACTAATAAAAGTGCAAAAATCTCCAAGGAAGAGTAAAAAACTATGAAAAATCGAAAGATGTTAAAACTGCTTTTCTGGAAAGGTTTCAAGTTATAAAAGTAAAATGAGTTGTGACTTCTTCAACTTTTTTTTGCTAATTCGCTAAATGCTAGGAGTGAATTTTGTGTCAATAGATGGCTCAGAACT